AATAATGATTAAATACAGATATTAAATAATGTAGTGCTGCTGCTTAATTTAATTCATTGTAGGGAAGGATATATTTCTCTATTTCTCTGTCATGTGTATTTGATATGTATCTGGGGACACATAACCTCTACTGATACTAAAATATATTGTTTTTATCATTTTAGAGCAAAATATTGGATCTTTATATTCATATTCTGAAGACAGCCGTTTATGTTGTTCAGAGATGAACAGTAAAGCTCTGGTGGACGAACAGGTTATGGAACACCCTGTAGGTGCCTAATTATAAAAGTGAAAACAACAATATTTGAGCAAGACGGTCAGAAGTCGCTAGTATGTCACAAGTTAATTATTGCTATTATTTCACCTTCTTACTTTAGAAGAATGTAATGCTGTGACGCTGCTCCTAATGTTTGGAACTATTCAACATTCCTGTGATCCACTGTATAAAAAAAACAACAACAAAAAAATCAGTCCTTATAGAGCCAGTGGAGATGTTGTCACATCAACTTTGCCTTGAGCCTTTGACCTGAACTGCTCTGGTGAAACCGGTGTCTTGCTCAAGGGCATTTTGACATGCTAACCGAAGAAGCCAGGAATTGCACTGCCATCCTTCAGGTTTAGGAAACAACCCGCTCTGCCTCCTGAGCCACAGCTGCTCACCACTTAACCTGTGACTGTATAAAAGAATGTGAGCCCTCAGTGCAATACCTTTTAAATATACTTTTGTATACTTATAATTGAAAAACTGTATTTAAACAGTGTATATGTATTTCTATATATATAGTCTATTGCCTTATAAGTACTTTATTTTTTATTTTCCTAATGCATATTTCTTCTTCTTGTTTTTTGTTTGCCTTTTTTTTTTTTTTTTTTTTTTTGTTCTCTCAGCCTTACCTTGTTTACTTGTTGCTTTACAGAAGAACACTGAGAGCCATTGTACTAGAGTCAAATTCCTTGTGTGTCTAACACACCTGGCCTATAAAGCTGATTCTGATTCTGAAAAACAAGGGTGGCCTTTTAGGGGACTTGCACTGAATAAATAAAGGTTAAAAATAAAAAATAAAACCTGATATGGATTCTAATAGAGATGCACTGATTGCAATTTTCTTGGCTGATTTTAGATTTTTTTTCTTTCTAAGAAAGTGACAGCATATACAGCCATTTTTGTAACTTTTTGTTAATGAAAAATTAAGTTGTAATAAAAACTGAATATTTCTTGTCTTTCTCACCTTTTTCAAACCTCCAACAAAAAATGAAGTGTGATATTTGTACACCTCCAGGTAACAGAAACAGAAGAATGTTACTACTGAGCACATAGTTCTTTTTGAAGTGTGTATAGTTTGTATTTGCTGTGTTTTACCACAGGTTGGATACTCTGTACATATACAAGGATTACAGATGTAGCTAGTAATTTTCTCACTGTGTACTATTTGTTGGAGAATTGGACATAATTTTCCCATCTTCAAAGTCTTTCCGTAGGCTCCTCTGTGGACTGTTTGCACACCCGGCGCTTCCTTTGTGCAAATGAACACGCGCCTGGTTCAGTCATGAGTGTGAGCCTTGCTCGAGGTGTATGCAAGATGCTGCGTGCACAACGTGGACTGTCCTGCCTCTAAAGCCGATCAGCATAGAATTGGAAGTCTTACAGTGATGAGCCAGTCACCGGTCAGTGCAATAGAGGGTGCATGTATGGGGTGTGTTTGTGTGTGTACTCTATTGAAAAGTTGAGTACACAAACTATTGCAGTGTGTGCATATTTGCTAAGAAAGAACTGTGAGCTGCATATTTGCTTTGCCTGTTTCACAAGTACACTGACCACATGTGAGTTTATTGAAATGTTGGCACATATTGAAACATTTGAAGCTTTGCTGGGTAGCCATCGTAGTTATGAGAATGGAGCTGAGCTGATGTGGCTAAAGTTGTTTTTTTGTTTTTTTTGTTTGTTTTTGTTTTTAAATCAAGGCACCAAGCAGAATTCAGTATCATCAGATTCAGCACCGCCATGTCTTCTTAAATAAAAATAAGCTGCTGCTCCCATTTCAGTGAAAACCCAGTGGGATATTCATATTGGCTATGGTCCATTTGCTCAACATGTTTCCCTAACCTTATTCTAACCATAACCACAGAGGGAGATGCTACTAGAAGCAGTTTTAACAGGGGAAATCCTGTCTAGATGGGGGAACTGTCATGGGCAGTGTGTAAAGCTGCCGATAATGTCGAGGGTGAACTCAATTATAAGACCAGATGAGTAAAAGCAGAATAGTCTCTCTTTAATAAGAGCGCTGGCCACAAACAAACAGTACACAATGCGGGAGTTTGATTCAACATATATCACTCTCAGGTCGATAAATCCAGTCCAGGGTCAGAGCCAGCAAACTCACACATTCCAGGTATCCACAAGAAGAACGGTCAGTAAGGGAAGTTCATAAGTCGATGCACAGAATACAATCAGAATCAGAGGGGTTAGGCAGTAATCTGTGGTCACAAGGCAATCCGGGGTCAGAGCTGGAATCACAGGCACTAGAAAATCTCTGGAAAGTCTGAACATGAGTTAGAATAATTTGGCAGCTTCCTGGTGGGAGGAAGCTGCCTATAAAGGGGTGTTGACAGGTGCAAATAATTACCACTGATTGGTGTAACCAGTCCGTAGCTGAAATGAGACCTTAACAATAAGTGGTGTCAGAATAGAAGCATGCTACCGGAAGCAGGAACAGATTTTGACACAAGACTGGCACTCTGTCGGTCAGGGTTTGGAACGCACTCATTCGCAACACTGGCTACACCACTGCAAATGCACCACACCTGTAGAATTCATTGATGGGGCAGAGCTCCAGTCGCCTTTGATAAGCTATCATACTGCTTGTTTTGTGTGTATGAATCTGTGAGAACAATTAAAAAGAAAGTGTGTGTGTGTGTGTGTGTGTGTGTGTGTGTGTGTGTGTGTGTGTGTGTGTGTGTTGGTACCTGTAAGCCAATAGCCTTTGCTGTGTTACCTTTGTTTGTGTTACTAAGTGTGATTGCTTTGGTATCAGTTCTGTGTCACCATATACAATTAGTTTTGATATGGGTGATAACCCATGCCAACGCTAAACAAATGACGTACTGATTGTACATTTTAACGTCTTCCTGATAATGATAGATATTGACTTAGACTCCTGTGCTTGATTAAAATTGTACCAGAAATATTATGCATTATTATATACAAATCATGTTAATTAAGAGCTGTGGATTCCATATAAAGATATACTTTAGACAAGGCCACACTTGCTTTACTGTATATTTTACCTTATTACATGATAATAAATTGGCATACTGTTATTATCATTTCTATACACATAATTGTATAATATAGTAAGCATGCAAGATCACTACAGAACTTCAATAAAAACTGAAAGAAGTACTGAGTCCAATCATTAAATCTGCTCTTCCAACAAGAATGAGACCAGTTATTAGTCCTTTTTGTTTTGGCTTTTATTTTTAGTGCAGGATAATAATGGGTGTGTAATGATGCATGTGTAAGTGTGAATTGCCAAGGTGATGCTAGTAACAAACCATGTGTGCATGTGTACATGTATACTACTATCACCAAGCCAGCTGATAAATGTTTGACTTGACTGACAGGGACTGACAGCCAGTGGCAGACTCACAGGATGAGCAACAGCAACCAACTTCAAATCAGAGAAGATAATAATGATTTTTGCAACATTAAAGTGGCTCTAACTTACTTTTGCCCTCTAACTTTCTATGGATAGATAGTGAGTGAGAATCAAAACAAACTCAGGCAATAACTCCCTCCCCCTCCCTCTGCTCCTCCTTGCCCCTTCTTCCCTGTATGTAAAATTTCTAGATATTTTTCTTTACTTGATTTATCTGAATATGTGCTAAATCTTAGTTAATGCACCTTTAATTTTTACATTGAGTGTTTAGTCACAATCAAAGGGAAAGCATTACTGTAGTGTGATGGCAACAAACACAAACCAGAATCTAGTTGGACTGTGCCACTCCACCTGGGTTAGATCTTTATATAGGAATACAAAATCTACTGTTTGACTTGGGAGTTGACTGCAGCCCATTGAAAAAGTAGGCTACATGTCAAACTCCCCCCTTCAGCATAACCTACATCTCTTGTGTGGTCATACAGCATGCATGTTGTATTTCAAACAGTCCTATCTCACCCCTTATACAGTGAGCTGCTAACACCTTGTGGCATGACAAGTGCAAACAGTCAACCTTAGTAGTAAATGGAAAAATGTGCTTTTAGTCATACTTTGTTGACCTGGTGAGTGCAATGGGAAGGTTTTCTGGGTGTAACTAGCAAAACCACTGTAGCTGACAAATTCAAGCCACTGCTGTCTGTGGCATTTGATGCTGCAGTCTTAAAACAACCATCTTCATTGCCTGCATGGAGGGACCACTAAAGTTTATCAGTGCAACTTGTGATAATAGGAATTTTTCCTGAGAAAACATCTTTGCCTCTGTTCATGTTTTCCAGTGTTTATCACAGTTTTTGTCTCATGCTTCATATTGTACAATTCAACAGCGGCACTATTCACTGTGTTTGGTCTGTGGCTTATGCTTTGTTTGGAAAACATTAAAACCTGTTCAGATGTTGAACTTTTAATCTGTGATCTAGAAGTTTTTTTCATGTTTATTTATTCGTTCTGCATGATCACGGGTAGCTTGTAAAAGCTGACTCACCTCCTGTGATAACATGTAATTACTGTATTAGCATTTTTTAAAATCAGAATCTATTAGACAATCTGTTAGTAAAAACTAAGAATGTTGACATTATCTTTGTACATTTTTTTTTGGCTCATAAAATTAGCTCTATCACAACTGTCAATCAGAATAATTTAGAAATATTGAGCAACTTCTTTCCAACTCCAGCCCATGTTGCCGTGTACAGTCCTTTGTCTTTTTGATGGCAGAACAAGAAGACCTCTTCACACATCTGATTGTCAGGTTACTGACTCATCCATTTATGCCTGATTTTTCTGCAGACTCTGAGAGAGAGGAGAAAGGCCAGTGAACAGACAGAAGGAGAGACAGCAGAACAGATGACAGACGTGAAAGTGAAAGAGGAGGATGAGAACGACCCGTACAGGCTTTGCAACTCTGTGGACCTGGACAAGGTATGTGTGTGTTTAGCATGAGCAGGTACAGTTACAAGAAAAAGTATTGGCACTGTTTGCAATTTCCTGATTTTCTGCCCAAAATTGGTCATGAAATGCGATCTGATCTTCACCAAATATCAACAATGTCAGTGTGCTATTCACAAGCAGCATCAGCTGATGTGAGCCATGCCTCGCAAAAAAGGGATCTCAGAAGACCTATGATCAAGAGTTGTTGATTTGCATGTAGCTGGAAAGGGTTGCAGAGACTTTAGACTTTAGATATTCATCAGTCCACTGTTAGACATATTGTTTATACTCTCTGTAGAAGTGGGTGCCCAGCCAAGATCACTCCAAAGGCACAACACAGAATGCTCAGCTAAAAACTTGAAGGGCTCACTGGATTTGGTTAACATCTCGGTTCATGAATCAACCATACGCAAAATACTGAGCAGACATGGTATCTATGGCAGGACACCACAGAGGAAGCCATTGATCTCCAAAAGCAATATTGCAACATACCTGAAGTTTGCCAAAGACTACCTGGACACTCCACAACACTACTGGGAAAATGTGCTGTGGACAGATGAAACGAAGGTGGAATCGTTTGAGAAGAACACCTAGCACTATGTACGGAGTACAAACAGAACCGCGTACCAGCATGAAAACATCATCCCAACAGTGAAGTACGGTGGAGGAAGCATCATGATTTGGGGCTGTTGTGCTGCCTCTGGACCTGGACTACTTGCCATTGTGGGGTCGAAAATGAATTGGGTGTATTCAATAAAAGCATAAAGACACACAGACTGTGTACACACACACACACACATATATATATATATATGTGTGTGTGTGTGTATATATATAGATATAT